TATTTTCATTTAAAAACCAAACAATTTTTTTTGATAAATAATAATTAAAAAGAAAAAACAACAACACAATATATTTAAATTATAAACAGTTTAATTTTTACCCGATGTTATTGCATTAAACTAATTAATGATTTTGATATGTTTTCAAACAGCATTAAATTTCAATTGTCCGTTAAAAAATGTTTGTGTTTTTTTGAAAATGAGCGTTCTACATCAATAGATTAATCAGTATGTATTTAAATGCAAAAAATCGTAGCACAATCTAAATCTAATTTTCATATGACTAAGCTTATAAACATTAGAAAGTATTATATAGGTACCTGTATTCAATATTATTGTTGTTTATATTATTATGATATAATTATAATACAAAATTAAACACGTTTCGTCCGATTTGAGCGACAAAATTCATTGCACATCAGAAGCTTCTATGACCGCTTATTATATCGTCGCCTTCTATTTTTATGTGCGATTCATAATGATGCACAGGCTGCGGCATTGAATAGGCGCATAGCAAATAGATATCCATAAACACGTAACCCGTATAATAAAACCGCGAGTAGGTACCTCCGTAACAATATTATAAAAAACTATGAAAATAATTTTAATAATAATTAAAAATATATTTAATTGTTAATTTGCTAATGTATAATATACCATTTTATACTAAAATATGTATCTATTTATTTTGTAAATATAGTTGTACTATAAATTGTTCATTACTATAAGGAGTGCGACCGCACCATCGCACATTTGCATGAGTCGTCACTGCTTATAGCTATAATAAATATTTAGCCAAAGTTTGCAAGATGTCAACCAGAATATATAAAAGTGGAGCTCAAAAGATAAAAAAGAAACAGAGAGCTGAAGAAGAGCTTAGAAAATTAACAAAATTAGAAAGATTTTTATCAAAGACAAATAAAGAGCCTAATGAACCAAAAGTCTCTACTAGAATGACTCAGTCACAGGATATTCATCCTATTCCTAATACAGAACCTGGTACATCTAGTCGTAAAGAATCTACTTCAACGAATGAAGCAACAAATATTGAGATTTATAAACCTGAAAGTAGTACACCACAAAAGATTCAACATCAAAAAACAAAGAGAATGATTTTGGACTATGGGGTGATTTAAATAAAGATGAAATTGCATACTGGGTAGAAAAAGGTCCATCAGAATGTCAGCACTCAAATTGCTCATTTGAAAAATCAAAAAAGACTTTTATAAACCAAGATAGATATTGCTCAAAAATCTTGTTCTATCCCAAACGAACTAATGATGAAAAATTATCCAGAGAATGGTTATTATATTCACCAGTAATTGGTCGCGTCTATTGTTTCGTGTGTAAACTCTTTTAAAATTCTTCTACACCATTATCATCAGATGGATTTTGTGATTGGCACAACACATATTTAATTCAAAGTCATGAAAACTCCGTAGATCATAGAAAAGCTGCGGTAACATATCTTACAAGAAAACGTGGCTCAACAATTGACTGCAAACTAGAAGAACAGATAAACAATAAACGGCAGTACTGGAAAAATGTTCTTGAACGAATTGTGGCAGTCATAATTAATATGGCAGAGCGTGGTTAACCTTTCAGAGGAGATAAGGAAAAATTTGGTTCTCTTAACAATGGCAATTTCCTTGGATTACTCGAACTTCTAGCAAAATTTGATCCTTTTCTAGCAAGTCATATTAAAAAATTTGGGAATAAAAGATCAGGTGTTACGTATTATCTTTCTAAAACAATATGTGATGAGTTTATTCATATTATGGAACATAAAGTAAGAGATTCAATCTTGGATGATTTAAGAACTGCAGGGTACTTCAGTTTATCTATAGATTCTACTCCAGACCGGTCCCATATTGATCAGCTTACTGTTATTGTAAGGTACGTTTCACCAAACGATGGACTCCCAATCGAACGTTTTCTAACATTTCTAGAAATGTGTAATCACACAGGAGAAAGCATGGCTAAGATGGTGCACAACTACCTAATAAATGAGTGCAAAATCGATTTTAGTAAGTGTCGAGGCCAGTCATATGATAATGCTGCCAATATGTCAGGAAAATACAATGGTATGCAAGAAATAATATTGAAGATTAACAAGTATGCTATGTATATTCCATGTGCTGGTCATTCCTTGAATCTTATTGGTAGAGCAGCAGTTGACTGTTGTTTAGATGCAGTAAACTTTTTTGGAATTGTTCAAGAAATATATAATTTATTTTCATCATCTACCCATTGATGGGCGGTGCTGTTATCATTCTTCAAAGACAAGTCAAAAGTTCCAAAGTCTGGATGGAAAGCACATTCAATAGCCACAAATGCAATACTTGAAAATTATGATGGAATAATTTCTGCATTGCATCAGCTGCATATTGATACGACATAGAAAGGTGAAACAGGAAATCAAGCCATAAATATTTTGAATAAAATGGAAGAGTTTGAATTTATGGTAATGCTATATTTGTAGAGTTACTTTCTAAATGAATTTCATAAGACAAGTCGGTCACTGCGACACCCTCAAATTAGTCTAGATGTATGTAAGAAATTGTATGCATCACTTTTGGATTTTGTTAAAGATTCCAGAAATATGTTCGATCATTTTGAAAAAAAAGCGAAGGAAAAATTGCCTGATGTTGATTATAAAAAAAAGTAGATATACAGGTAGAAAAAGGCATATTAATGATGTTGAAAGTGATGCTTTAGAGATTCTTGAGCCAAGAGACAAGTTCAGAATCAAAACATTTACACCTGTAATGGACGCATTAGAGTCAAATCTGGAAAGAAGGGCTTCAGTATACAACGATGCTTCAAAAAAGTTTTCATTCTTAACAAAATTAGAAGCAACAGAAGAAAAGATTTATGAAGGAGTTAGTACTTTATGCCAAACATATCCTGAAGATGTGGACATAAATCTTGTAGAAGTCAAGCATTTTCATTAATATGTTAGACATAGTCAAACCTATGGTTCAGCAGAACATGATGGTCTGACACATCAAGATCTATATAAGATAATATTTAATGATCGTGTCCAATCAGCATTCCCTAATGTAGAAGCTATATTGAGGTTGTTTCTTAGTATGATGATAGCAAATTGCTCTGGAGAAAGATCTTTTTCTCAACTAAAGAGAATAAAAAATGAATTTAGAACAACAATGACTCAAGATAAATTATGTTCCCTCAATCTCATGTGCATAGAAAGTGACAAACTACACAGTTTATCATTAGATGATATCATCAGTGACTTTGCTCTAGAAAAGGCAAGAAAGAGAGTATTTAAGTTTTATAATTCTGAGATTAAATAATAAGTTTTGTAAATTGTTCCTTTCAAAATATTATTTTTTCGTTTTACATAAGTTAATATTTGTAAGTATGTTATAAATAAAAATAATATTGAGTTAATGATTAATTATTTAAATTATCTATATACTTAACTGTATTTCAGTTTATTCTTCTAGATCTCCAAAAATTATATTTGACAATGACATATTATCATAGGTAAAATTAAAAATACAATTTTTTATAGGGCCAAAAGGCCTAAAATATTTATTTGTTTGATGTAGCCTCTATAATGGTATAAACATTGTACAATGTATAGAAAATCTAGGAGGGTTTTAAGTGATGTTTTTTTGAAGAGGAGCTCCACCACAAAGACCCCTTATTTTCGCCTATGCATTTAATATCTACACTTATAAAGGGCCCCATATCTCAAATAGCTTAGGGCCTTATTAAGTCTAAATCCGGCCCTGCTCTTGAATCACAAAGTTCATTATCTCTGATTATTCGTAATTGTATGTACCTCTGTTAATGATATTATAAATTAAAAAAACTACGCGTTTATCGACTCCATTTATCCAACGAATAGTTACACAATAAGCAATTTGATGTACAAAAAGAACAACGACATGAAAGCTTGAATAGGAAGAGGCCTACTAGTCACACCCACAATATTACTAATATTTATTATTTATATAGGTTTTGGTTTTTTTTTTTTTTTTAGTAACCCACAGTATAACAATAACAATGACGGATTATATTGTTTAGAACTGCTGTGGAAGATATTTGATAAATAAATAGATTAGGATGATATTTTATTTTGTTATGGAATATTTTTTATTGATTTATTATTAGTTATCTTATAGATAGTAGTTATTTATAATTTTTTTTTACATTTTTTATGTAGAACATTTGTGATGATTCTTAGAACTATTGATTGACATTATTGTAATAATCTAGTATTAGATGGTTTAAAAAGTCCTCATATTTGTATCTCGTACAACCAAACTGGTCTGATTACACTTTTGTGTACGATATTTTCATTTCCTTGACTGATATTCAATTTAAGGATGGAACGAAGTAAAATCAAACGGACTGGTTGTTTACTTGTTTACGTTTTAATTTTTTTTTGTGTGACCATGTCAATATTTTATCTAGAATTATGCATAAAAAGTGTCGTCTACAATGTAAAAAATATGATATAATTTTATCGTTTCAGACTACCTATACAATATAGTTTGAAAAATCGTAATTAAATTCCGTACATCGGATTTCTTGACAAACAACTTTAAATTCAGCATTTCGGTCTTTCGAAAATTATCGGTCGACGTTTACGGGAACGATTACATAGTAAGTACAAAATTGTTGGCGAGAAAATGAACTGGCATCTTTCTCGGTATCGATTATCAATATCCTGTTGACACCACTATGTACCTACTACTCATTACTTGTGTCCAGTGTTACAGTAATTGAATGAATTATGTGAGAGTATTATTTTTTCAAAAAGGTCGCACGAAATATTGGACAAACATTTTGGGTCAACTACGCGCAAAAGTTGACAATCGCTATGTACACATCGACGGTCAGTCGACGTTTGACAATATTAGTTTCAAATCCATATTCGTTAAAAAAAAATCATAATATAGGGCATACAATAATACACATATTAATAAAAATAATATACATATAATATTACACTTTTAAGTTCTAACATTTTGATTGACGAACTCAGTGGCGTAGCATGGATATGACGAATGTGTGCCTACGCCAGGAATGCGAATTTCCAAAAGGCGCAAAATTGTGCAAATTTCGTATTTTTATCCTGCAATCAAATCGACATTTTTCTATTATACTTTTTGATATACGTAGATGTTATCTATTTGTACACATTACGAATGAATTTAAAGATGAAATTGTGAAAATAGCACAAGGGCATTTAAATAAAATATTTCATATGAAGAAATTATCGATGAATTTGCCAGTCATAGAGTGAGAAAACCAAATTTTCAATATTTAAAATTAACACTATAATTATAACTTATAAATAATAATTGTATGCTTAAAAAAAAAATATTAAAATCAAAGGTTAAAAAAAATATCATAATATCAAATTTTAATTAGTTAAGAAGCATTTTTTTCTAAATTTACCACAGGCGCTGCGAGTATTCCTACGCCACTGGACGAAGTATTACTGCAGTAATCTCATCAATGTTTTCCGTGATTATATCTAGCTCATGAAACATAGTAGATATGTAAACCTGACCTAAACTGATTATATATTCTAAAAATGTAGTACAATAGTTACAATAATAAATTATTGATAACATGAAATAAATTTAAATTTAATTTCATAAATAATCCAAGGAAAAAATATCTCCGGAGTCAGAGTCAATATAATTTACTTGACTATTATTTTAAGGGAGATTTTATTTATTGAGCAAAAATTGTTTGTGTTATTTCAATCGTACCGATTTGTGCTATTTTGGGCAACGGCCGTTCCATACAAGTATATACGTTTCCGCAACTCAGCCCCCATAGCAAAATGGTTGTATTTTATCATAGAGCAAGTTTTTATTTTTATCTTTTTCAACCCTACGCAGGAAATAATATGAATTCAACGGCCATCGATGAATTCGATATACTCTACGAGATCATAACACATGCAATTCATTCGTACCATAAACGCTCCGAGTCAAATGGAGAGAAAAAATAGAAAATAAAAACATTTGCGCTAAAACGTGCAAATAACAGCCGAACGGTTTCTATAGTATGTAATTAATAATGGTCGGGTGTTTCAGTGACGGCGAGGAAGAATTACGTCTCAGTACGATAACAATAAAAACATTCCCGTGAAAAGGACGACGAGATAAAAATAAATGACAAAGTACTTGAATTACGCGTCCACATGAATCATGCCACCGGTAATTATGTATGTACGTGAAGTTCATCAGCAACCGGAAATTATTCACACCTGCTGCTCGGACGAAACAGTTCAAAACCGTGCACCGGTCCACGGCCTCACAGGCACTTAATTTAGGGTATATGCGGTAAAAGGGATCCCCCAACCCCCAAAGATCATATTGTAGTAACCACGAATTAATACATATGGTATATATCACTTAATTGTACATTATTTAAGCCTTGGGGCTTCATTTTGAAGAAAGTTAATCAACCCCCTTCCCATAAATAAACACTTATTTACGTTCATTTAGCTTCATGGAAACTCCGAACAGTGATTCAACTTGGAACCAATGAGTAAGTGATCAAACATATGTTGTAATATTGTGAGCATTACTAGGAGTACTGAGACGATTCTAATATCATTACATACATACTAGATATAAAAATATACCTATTAAAATTGCTTCTACTTACTGTCCTCCTTGTTACAAAATTGACAGTTCAATAGATTTTTCCATCTTTTAGGTCACTGATTCATTTCTGAGAGTGATCACAATTAAAAATCACCTATCACTTATTTCTCCTCCTAACCCAACTTACTGGACTGCTCATGAAAATAGGTTACCCGAAACACTTGACTTCTTTATTTCCAAAATCCCATTTCATATTAATACTAACATAAAAAATATATGTGATCTATCAAGTAATCGCTCTCCCACACAACTAATCATAGCTGAAGAAATAATTCTCAACTCTAGACCTTCTAACTAATGGGCATGCTGAATAGGAAAAACTCAGACATAATCTGAAATAAACTATCGATTCAATAACTTTGAATTCCTATTCCGATATTGACAATGCAGCAAAATGCATAGTTCGTATTATCCAACAAGCAGCCACTATGATAGCTTTGCCCATCAAACCCCATCAATTTAATCTTTCCTCAAATCTTCTTTTTAACATAAAACAACTAATCAAGCGTCAAGCTCGATAAAAATGGATTACCTAGTCATAAAAAAGTTTAAATAATTTAACTAGTCTTTTGAAAAATCAACTGCGTATCCATAAATCTGAGCAGTTTTAATTGTATATGAAATCCCTAAAGCTTAATAATGGTTCACTTTGGAAAAGAACCAAAAAACTAACCACATACAGGGAAAAAATTCCTCCTCTTCGACAAGAAAACAGATTATTAGCAACAGCTGATAAGAAAAAGGCAAATATGTTTGCCTCCTAATTAGCCGAAATATTTAAACTACACCCACTCACCACCCAGGAAATAATTTTTATGTTAAAATACATAATTTTCTAACCTGCAAAACCAATTTCCCCAGGATATATTAAAATTTTAATGAAGAAATTGCCTCCAGGTAAGGCACCTGAAATGACCATATCACAAAAAAAAATCCTTAAAAACCTACCTCTGAAAACTTTAACGTTACTTACACATATCTATAATGCAATGCTTGGACCGACGCACTTCCTCAAAATTTGAAAATTCACCGTCATCATACTTATACTTAAACCATATTTTGTGTGTATAAAAATTTCTAATTAAAACACTGAATTAGGATATTTAAAAGGTAATTTAGTTGTATATATTTGGAGGGTCCGAAATCTAATATTTTGCGTGCTTCTAGTCCAAATTATTTTAAATACAGCCAGAGAAACAATATAAAAATAAAATACACAATTTACACAGTAGTTATACTAAATAGGGACTTCAATTCACCACGTTTTGCACTGTAAGTCTCAATATATTTTTAAATTTATAATAGAACAATTATGCTGATTGTCTGGTGAAATTATATGATTTTAGAGAATGTCACACAAATAAGATACATAGATACATAAATGTCTTGGTTAAAATATGACAATTCAACAATTAAGACCATTATTTAATTGTGTGTCGAAAAATAATTTTCTTGCAACATTACCATGTCTTATACGTTCCAACATAATTAATTATATTTTGATTTACACTGAACAGATTACATCTGGTAATCATTTCTGCATACAATTTTTTTTTGGTCATTTGAATTTTTCTCCATATTATGAAATACAAAACGCGATTGATTATTTTTATTTTTCATAAATATTTCTTTTTCCGAGAAATGTTTTTTTTTTCTATTGTTAAGAACTTTTAACTAAGGAAACTCTTCTAAGAAAACTTTTTCCCTCGTTTACGGGCTTTTATATCAATAAGAAAACATATCAGAAAACCAATTGAGAACTATAAAATATGTCCACATACTTCCAATAGTATGCTGTGCAACAATAATCGCGGTCCAGTGTAATTTATTTACTAAAATAATTTCCACAACTTGATTCAAAAATTAAAAATTGCTTTATTTAAATATTTATATTCATTTATAAATAATTATAGATTACACCAAATCATGAAAAGTTCGAAATCAAGTTTTTAACATATATATAACGATGTGCATCATTCATGGGCGTATTTTAGGGGGGGGTCTAAGATGCAACCCTCCCTAAATCCGTATTTAAGGAATTGATTTTATGTGAGATACACATTTCAATTTTTTTTTTTTTAATATGGATAATTTTATAACGAAATCAAATGACGCGTGGCTGTGAATACTGAATTGGGCTTGTTATCGGGTCTATACTTAGTGAAAAATCAAATAAGATACAAGCATAACTTTCAAAACACTGACAGATGTTAAATAGAACTACACAAAATCGATTCTAAGTGGATAGAGCATTAGATTAAAAAAAAAACCACTATATTAAGGATTCACCTAATTTAAATATTACCAAAAATTTTACTTGTAAATTTTGAGCCTGAATCAATAAAAAAAATTGAGTCGGCCCCCTCCCCCGAGAAGTAAGTCTAAATACGCCCTTGATATCATTCTACTTAATAACATGTGATAAATAAACTGTAATTATGTATAACCATTTAATTATGTAATATATTATCAACCAATTAATTCTTTTTTGAATAGATTTTTTTGATATGCACACAGACAACACAATTCAAATAATAAAGTCCTAATCCAAAAATACATCACTGACATCCTAAGTAACTTATATATTTAAAGAATCGGTCCAAAGCAATATTTCTCTATATAACATGAACACAAAACCCTCTTCCACACTCTTACCTATAAGCCTTCAGTGTCTGCGTATTGAATTCTTGGTTATAGGTGCGCACCGACCGCCGAAACCCATCAAAGGAGCTTCTTGTGACAAATTATTACTAATATTAATACGTGCAATTATTTCACTTTAAATTTCACACCATGATTTAAGTTTTTTATGCGAGCGTCGAAAATTGTCTAACATCAGTCCATTAAATTCTGTGTCTATTTCACTTAATTTTACCTACTCTACTCCTATAGTAGTCAAAGTGGTCATCGAAACCTGAATATCTACTACGGAACAAGTGTTATTTTATTTAACTTCCCTCTCTTAAACAAGGAAGAAGATAATCAATCCATACTCACTACCTACCTCTCCACTTTTCGTATCTAATCCCTAGTTTCCCTTTTCACTCAACCTTTGTAGACGCCTCTCCTCTTTTCCTTTTCTTTTCATTTTGGGTTATTACATATTTCATGATCAATCAAGAATCGAAAATAGTATTGGCAGAGGCTACTAGTATATTTTAAACAAAGGAGCATTGAAAAATATTTATAAATTATTAAATTATCTTTATCTTACCAATATAACTAAAATTATTATTAATGCTCAACTTTCATTTTCATTTTTGTTCCACGTATATTATTAATAAATAATAAAGGTATAATTAAATAAAAATTCATCACATTCTCGTATATCTTTGTTTTAATGGAAATAAATAATATTAAATTCGTACATATATTTACAAAAACGTATAATTGTTTACTACATCGAAAGAAGTTCTAAACGTTCACCATGAATTATCCTACATTTTGT